ATATATTAATGCAATTCAAATTTTTTGAAATAGTTTGCATCTCCTTTATTAATTTTTATTTTTTTGTTAAGTTATTTTTATCTCTTTTTAATTAGAGTTATGTAATATGTTTATAATAATAATAATAATAATAATAATAATAATAATAATAATAATAATAATAATAATAATAGTTGGCATGGTGTTAGTCCAAGTATACATAAATTATCAATTGAAATGTAAATTAAATAGAATAATTTTTTTTTTATTATCTTACAAGTTTAGATAGATTTTTTTTTTTTTTGGTTGCTTTTGCTTTTGAGCATGTTTAAAAGAAACTATCTTGGCACGATTATATTACAAAATTATAAGTTTAGCTATCAGGAAATCATATTGATCATGATCAAGTCCTAATGAGCATAGAAATCACACACCACACGGCCTTATAAGTTTAGCTATCAGGAAATCAAATTGATCATGATCAAGTCCTAATGAGCATATAAATCATACACCACACGGCCGAGAGCAAGTTTTTATTATTTTATTATATAATTGGAGTCTTTGTGTTTTCATTATAAATTAGATTAGAATCCTTTTATATTTATATATTTAATATGATTATAAATTTGCCATTAAAAATATGTCAAAGTAAAGATTTTTTAGGCAGATCATTATTAGTATAGGTAGATAGATAGATATAGATAGATAGGTAGATAGATAGATATAGATAGAAAAAAAAAAAAACTAACTTATCTATTAATTTAACCAATTAAATCAATAAAAAGTTGAGGAATATGTTATGGCCCACATCTGAAGTTAAAATGAGAGTTATGATTTTCAGTTATACAGAGAGTGATCATCATCATCATCTACCTCATATCTTCCCCCACATTATAAATATCTCATTTTTTCAACCCAAAAAAACCCACCATTCCTTTAGGAGTTCATTATAGGCAAAATTTTAAAATTGGTCCTATAATTTGGCCACTGTCCAAAAAACCACCCCGATATTGACCACTTTCAATTTAGGTCCTATAATTTGTCGATTTCATCAATTTTGGTCCTTTTTTATCCGCATCCTGGATTAAAAAGTGATGTGGCATGACATGTCAGTTTTTTAATGTTACATGGCGTGATTAAGATCTACGTGGCATGTCAATTTTAGTCCTATAATTTGTCGATTTCATCAATTTTGGTCCTTTTTTCATGCCACGTCACTTTTTAATCCAGTGTGCGGATAAAAAAGGACCAAAATTGATGAAATCGACAAATTATAGGATCTAAATTGAAAGTGGTCAATATCGGAGTGGTTTTTTGGACAGTGGTCAAATTATAGGACCAATTTTAAATTTTTGCCTTCATTATATATAAGAGGAATGACCCTTCGCTCCAGTGATCGGAATCCTCATTACGCAAGGGTCATTCCACTTATATATAATGAACCACTAAAGAATCTTGAGCACGTACGTAATTCAACATGCATACATCTTTTGTATTCAGCAAACTCTCTTCTTCTTTGTTTAATTATTTTGGTTGCTATGAAGATGAGAATGAATAGATATCTTATTTCATTGTCTAATTACAAGGCTAAGCTATTACTCCAGCAGTAAACAACGAAGAAAAATCATAACCATTGATCAAGACAACTAAAAAAAATACAGCATGCTTATCATTTCATATTCATATTCTAATTGACAAGATTAAGGAGGAATAAAAGATGAGGGGTTTGTTCAAGCGTAGAGACTAGAAATTACCTTAAGTATGGAGTCAACAACCTGATAGTAGAGACCATTGTTTATCATTGTAGGTTAATGTAGCAATTTTCACAGGAGGGTGGGAAAAAAGTGGTCTCAACTATCAGGTCGTTGACTTCATCTTTAAGGTACTTTCTAGTTTCTGCAGGTAATTCATAAAGAGAGCGAGGATGAGTGAGATCTTCAGGTAATTATGTTGATTGGTGGGTTAATTTTCAGTTGAAAAAATGAGGTCTTGTCTTTATAAGGTGCGAAGAGATGGGAATATGGGATAACTTGTAAAACTCAACTTCCCCTTTTCTTTTTTGTTGCGCGAAATTCCTTTCCACAACTTTTGCATTCCCCAATTTATGGTAAGAAAGAATTTGTTCCTTTACCTATATTTTCCATTTATTTATTTCTTATTTAATGCTTTTGTAAAATATTTCTATCGTCTTATTTATTCATTTTCACAGTATTTAACAAAATAAATAAGGAAAAATGAAATATGTCCAGTAATTTAGGACATATGATAGTTTTGCCTACTAAATTCTAAAAAATTCAATAATTAACCTAATTACGATATTCTGACCGAACACACGTTTTAGTGGACGTTTTTCATAAATTGTCACAATTAATTAATGGATGATTTTTGTTTAATTTTCATGCATATCGTGTTCTATGTTTATTAGTCAGTGCATATTTTCACGTATTCATTATTATGACTTTTAAATATGAGTATTATCTAAAAATTATATGTTTCAATTTTCAATATATTTGACACTTTTCATATATGTGATGTACTTATTTTGTTGGATTAAGTGAAAATAATAATTCAAAAACAAAATAAATAAACCATATAAAAGACAATTTAAAATCACAAATTAGTATTAACTATGCATTATGTGCATCACACGTGCACTTTACTAGTCTAATAAAATAATAAGAAATGAAAGCAAAACATGCTACAATAAGTCAGAACTACACAATCCTCGATTTTTTAATTTTTATTTTTTTGGAGCCACACCCTCCTTCTGTAATGTCAAATTTCCATTCCAACAATTTCATAAATTAAATGAGTACTATATATTAATTCATATAAACTAGATAAGAACCAAATTATGGCACTTGAAATCTGAAATAAGTTCCGAGCCAACCAAAATTATGTGTAAATCTTTGTAAATGTGCGTGAAGCATAATATTTAGTGTAAAATAATATTTACTTATCATATTTGTGTTTCTAAAAATAGGTAACATGGAATTAATGCTTGAAGTGAAAGGGAAGATAATTTCATATTAACTTTTCATATCTTAGTTATTAACCTATTGTGTATTTGGATTTAATTATCTTCCTTTAGCTTGTAGGTAAAAGAAATATATTAAATTCATTAGGAGATGTTATATATATATATTCTCTTTTCTTAGTTTGATATTTTATGCTATTTATTTAATTATTTATTTTACTTGTAGGAAAAGGAAGAGCAAAAATGATAAAAGAAGATATTCTTATGAGACATAATTTTAAATCACAAAATCGTATTAACTATGCATCATGTTTATCACATGTGCACTTACTAATCTAGTAAAGTAATCCCTTCCCTTTATATATTAATTCAGAACATGTTGAGCCTAAGTGGCAGACTTGCATGCTTCGGGATCCTATGTGGCAAAATTACATGCTTCGTTATTAGGCTTGGATAAATTTAATTTACTTCCAACGCAAAAATAATTAGGTTCGGATTATCCATAAATATGTTGATTATTTATGGTCATGTTACATGTATTAATTGCATTTTAATATTATTTTTTATTATAACCATTGAATTATAAATCTATTTTAAAAGTTAATAACTTTTGTATTTTTTATCAGTTTTACATATATAATATATCAAATTAATCATTTCTTGATGAGCTTCGATTTAACATTCATATTTTATTTGTAAGAAAAATAAATTATATTATCTTTATAACAATAATAAAATTATTTTTGATATTAATTAGATAAATAAAATTATTTATCAAGCAATATACTTATATTTCAAGTAGTTATATGATATAAGTTATAAAAATTACTATAACATAACACATGTAAGTCGCACAAGTAACAAGTGTCATTCTAAAAGATATAATATATATATATTTTGTAAAAAAGTAAATAAAACACTACAAAAAAAATGTTATATTCCAACGGAAAATCCTATGGTAATATATTCCAATGGAAATTCCAACGGATATTCCAATGGTATAGCTTCCGTTGGAATGATTCCAACGGAAATTCCAACGAAAATATTCCGTTGGAATGTATTTTTCATTAGAATTTTAGATGGAATTTGTTGATTCCAACGGCTATATTTCCAACGGCTTTTGACAGTAGGAATTTCCGTTGGAATATACAATTTTCGTTGGAATTTTTATTTCCACCACCGTTGGAATCGTCAAAATCCAACGGAAATTCCAATGGAAAACCCACTCCAACAGAATATTTTTGTTGGAATTTTCGTTGGAATAATTCCAACGGAAATAATAGCATTGAAATATCCATTGGAATTGCCATTGGAATTCTATTGGAGTATATTTCCGTTGGAATTTCATCATTTTCTTGTAGTGAAATTTAAAATAATTTTTCTCATTAATTGTAAATTTAAGAATAATTTTTTAACAAGTACCCGTGTAATACACGAGTGTTATACTAGTATGATATGAAAGGAAAACATGCTACAATAAGTCGAACTACACAATCCTCAATCTTTTGAACTTTTCGAGCAACACCTCCTTCTGTAGTCAAGTTTCCATTCCCACAACTTCATAAATTACACGAGTACTATTAATTCATATAAACTAGATAAGAACCAAATTATGGCACTTGAAATCTGAAATAAGTTCCGAGCCAACCCCTATTATGTGTAAATCATTGCACACGTTGCAAGCTATAATTATAAAGAGCAAATCTGTAGTAACTTTTCTTTACTAAAATATTTATCTATTGATGTGAATTGAATAGCTCGTTATCTGTGATACAATCTCCTATATGAATTCATATAAATAAAGCAAATGATTTTGAGCCATTTCACTCGTCCTTGGAATGGCCAGACTCAAAATCCATCAATTAAAACACCTCCTTCTCATTGTCTTTCTAACTTTCTTAAACAATGTAGATTCAAAATCCTTTGGCTTTACCCTAAAACTCATACCATGGGACTCCCCAGAGTCACCCTTTTACAAACCAAACCTCACACAAACACAAAAGACTCAAATGATGGCCATTTCCTCCAAGGCGCGAGCAACTATCTACGCACCCCCAATTAACGAGACTCTCGATGCCAACAAAATACGACTCCCAGTCGACAAAAATGATTTACGATACTCAGTCAAGATCAAAATTGGGAGCCCAGGCACTGAGATGACCCTGCTTCTCGACACCGCCAGCGGGCCAATTTGGACCCAATGCAAGAAATCGAGATCTCTTTTCTTTCCGGGAAAATCCCATTTCTTTACGGATAGGTCAAAAACATATCGAGTGTTACCATGTAATCACCCCATGTGCCAAATGGACGATAACATGTGTACCTGCAAAAACAAATTGTGTGTTTGTACCGTCAAATACGGTATAAGAGGTGGAAAAACTACTAGAGTTGACTATATTTTGTCGTCAGACTCGTTCACCCTACCTCTGAGGAACAAGAGCTCAACAACTTTCACAAATATGATCTTCGGGTGCGCTGATCGGTCAAACATCTTCTCTGGAATTCTCGGCTTGAACATGGAGCCCTATTCCCTAATTAAACAGTTGGGGGAAAATGCCAAGGGACGATACTCCTACTGCCTTCACCAGGGGCATGGCCTCTTAAGATTTGGAGACGACATACCACAAGTCACGAAATACTATAAAACAACAAAAATACTAAATCCTTTAACCGATGAAATGTACGTTGGCTTGACAGACATAAGTGTGGCTGGCAAGCGGCTCGGCCTCTCTCCGGGTATGGTTTCAGATGTAAATAATGGAGGAATACTCATGGACACAGGGACCCGATTCACCGTCCTCAAGAGAAGGGCTTATGAGACGGTGACACAAGCTTTTGCGAGTTATTATGACGGTATGCTTAAACGGGTGAAAGTGCCTAGGTGGGGCCTGTGTTACAAGCGCAATTCGAGTATGAAAAGCAATGTCAGCATGACTTTTCATCTTCAAGGGGCCGATTATGTGACGAGCGATATGTTTGTGGACCTCTTGGGAGGAAGTGTCATGTGCCTTGCGCTGCAAGAAAGTGATGTGCCAATACTGGGAGCCGTGCAACAACTCAATAAGAGGTTCATCTTTGACACAAACAAGAATGTGATGATGTTTGCCGATGAGGATTGCGCAAAGGATAGAGGATAATGAGGTTTAATGAAGAGATATAGATGTTTTCTTTTAATCCAATAAAGACACAATTTGTCAATATGATGAGTAATGGCTGAGAGAAAAGATTTTTTTTTTTTTTTTTTAAGAACTCAAGTTATTTTACAGATCACTCACTTCTTTGTGTTCGTGGATGAGAAAATTCTACAAATAATTTAAATAAAGATGCATACAAATTTAGATGAGCCCATCAAAATTAGGGGATAATTACACACAATTTGCTGCTAAGGATAGAAGTTGATATAACACCCATATTAATTTGGTGCAACAGTTAGAATAGTTAGCTTGGGTTAATAAGATTACATTAGTATTTACAATGTATATAATAAGATTACATTAGTATTTACAATGTATATAATAAGATTACATTAGTGTAGAACGGCTATTAAATTTACGACTTTATTGAATGGAGTCATCATCCTTATTTACAATGTATATAATAACATTACATTCTTGTAGAACGCTTAGGGCCGCCTGCCGTAGAAGATATAAACCTCATCAGAACCCCTCCTGCAAACATGGAAATCAAACTATATATGAAATGATATGCAAACATGCAGGGAGAGAGAGGGAGAGAGAGGGGGGGAGGCAGGGAGAGAGAGAGAGAGAGACCCATCTCTTCCACAATATGTTGTACTGTATTTATATATGAGATGGTCATCAATGCTCTGGGGAGACGGCCTGGTCGTAGACTTGCGAGCCTCTCTGACAGAATTCATATGATATAAGGAAAAAATGAATTAATTGACACTTCAAAGATTAAAAGATTCTTATGTAGATGGAAACATGAGTTCTTATAGGATTAACTACTCTTCAAAACTAACATATAAAGTTAGCAACAGACTTGAAAATGTTACCTCACAATAAAGTTAGCAACAAGCTGAGTAACTTCAACTGCATCTTCTGAGTGTGGGATCATTGATAAACCCCACTCGAAAGCATTTTTCTGGACAAAAACAAAGTGAAATAGTTTGCATTCAAACAACCAATTTTAACCAACTTCGTCTTGTTTGCTCTATCAATTGATAACACTACCAAAGATTGATTATCTATCTTGGATCGAGTCGCAAGGAAACAAAACCAACCAATTAGAAATAAACATCAAGACAATGTAGAAGGCATAGTGCATAAGAGAAGGCCCACTGTTGATAAAAAATTGATACGGACAAGTGAAATTTTGGTAAAAACATACAAAGGTAATACCTCTGGGTGCCACTGGACGGCAGTCACCGGATATTTGCGTGCTTGAATTGTCGAAACATATTCCTAATACAAATTGATTAAACCAAAGTTGTGATAATTACAAAACTCAGATGTCAGCAAAATGGAGTTAAGATGAGATGAATACACAACACTGTGATTCCTTCAATACCTTGCCTTGTCGATCAGTGCTTGTCGTTAGGATCTTAAAGAAATTACGAAGCTTCACGCTCTTTTGGAATTTATTCGGTGAAATACCATACTGTCAATTAGAAAATATGATGGTTATATAAGGAAGACTTAAGCTACATAATTAATTTTTTTAAGGTGACGACAACTGCTGTATCGAAGTTGTATTTTTATATCGTGAAAGACTATAAGTTGTAAATATTCAGACAGGTACATACATGTAAATGCTCTCTAGTGCATAAAATTATCATTCATTTGCACTTGAGTTGAGGGAAAGCACTTTATTTAAAGCTTAAACACATTGCTGTTTAGACAAATTCTTACGGCAATCATCCAGCATAAGATAAAACGAGTATCACAGGGTAAAAATCATCAAACTGCTCTTACATGATGACTTTGCATCACGAGGCACTCTTTCCTCAGCTTGTTTAGCAAAGGCCGAGGAAACCTGAAAAAGTAACCAACGTTTTGTTATTATAACCAATTGGTAGGACAGAAAATTCTGCGCATCGGTTTATCAGTGAGTCACATACGACTCAATTTGTTTATCATGAGGTGATTGAACTGTCTTGATTTTTATCTAGTCGTATTCTTAGACCAAAACAGAGCAATTTAAATAAGAATTCGGGCCTCTTATCTGAATGGCCCGTCGAAAATAACAAAATGACTACTAAGAAAAATAGTGCCGTGCTTGCATCATGCTAATTTAACCAGTTTCGGGGTACCAACTGTATGCCAAAGAGGGAAAAGGCGTGCCATGCAGTGGGCAACAAGACAAATTAATTAATATTTCATGGGAAACAGAGTGAAGATAATTTCAACCAAAACATAGTGAAACTTGTCGAATTAAAGGCAGTTATATATTACCTTTGAAACAGAGTTTTCTTAAGATCTATGCCATCTATGAAGTGCAATGTCGATGTGTGATTTGCTGCATCAAATGGCTCCAGAATGTTTCTGTCCTGTAACAAATTACAGAAAAGCCAAACAAATAGATTAACATGTGGAAAGTAAAATATTAAACAACGATAATGAAGAACATTAAACAACGATAACAGCGAGTTCATAAGAATCATCTAAATTAACAATCTAAGCTTGCAATTCCATGGAACGACATCGTCTCTCTTAAGGATTTTTAGTGCGTGTGAAGCAATATGTGCATGGTTTCACAGAGATTACCTCACCAACAATCATTGTTAACAGTTCAAAGCCTAAGCATATTGCAAGCAAAGGGAAATGATCTACATCATCATTCTTTGTCATGACAATCTGCATATAAGAGATAAAATTGAAAACATTAGTCATATTTTATTTATTTGCTATGAAGGTCAGAATGAATAGATATATATAAATAACAACATTAAGGAGGAACAAAAGATGAGGGGTTGGTTCAAGTGTAGAAACTAAGTACCTTAAAAATGAAATCAACGGCCTCATAGTACAGACCAGTTGTTTCGCCTCCTCCTGTTATGATGACTCCATTAACCAGCGAGAGCTTCTGCAAAACCCAAATTCAATTCAGTTGAATTTACAGGAACAACAATTAAACAAAGAAGAAGATAGTTTGATGATGAATACAAAAGATGTATGTATGACGAATTACGTACGTGCTCAAGAATGTTTTGTGGCTCATTGTAGATGAGCGGAATTACCCTTCCGCCAGCGGACTCCACAAATTTCACATAAGAGGCCGCAATGTAAGAGGCGTTTGGAGATTTGCTGAGCCGGCCGGAAGCCCCATCTCCCGGGTGGCTAAGTATTCCGATCACCGGCCGTAAGTTGGGTTTGCCACGTCTGTACTCAGGGGGCGGACAGAGTGAGGAGCAGTAGCAGCGGATGAGCTTGTCGTAGATCGTCATTACGCAGGAGGAGAGAGGAGAGGAGAGGAGAGAATTATGTGGATTGGTGGGTTTTTCAGTTGAACAAATGAGGAGGTATTTATAATGTGCATGGGAAGAGATGGGATGCCTTGNTTGCCATTATCTACTACTTAAGTTATTTCCCATTTTGCCTAATTTTTTCCATTTATTTAATTGTTCTGTTTTTCTTACAAAGCATATATATATATTAAATATCACATAGCATGTATATATTAAGTATAATGTTAGTAAATACTCAAAGAATAAAGTATCACATAGCATGTATATATTAAGTATAATGTAAGTAAATACACAAAGAATAAAGTATCACATAGCATGTATGTATTCAGTATAATGTTAGTAAATACACAAAGAATAATGTATCACATAAAATAATATATAAAGTAATATATATATATACACACACACACACACAAAGAATAAACTACCCAAAATTCTAAGATAATTTTATGTCAATACACACACAAATTTAGATGAGTACACAAAAATTTAGGGAAAATTACGAATCTGTTGTCGAGGTTAAGAGGAACTACAACACATTTTCTCGAAAATTCGGAAATGTAATAACTACAAGTACTGAAACATATAAACCAAAATTAATTACTAGTAAGGAACATTTTAAATCAGGCTTAAAGCTGGTACTTTACTCAAAGCCGAAGAAGCTGGTACTTTACTCAAAGCCCGGATGTTGTTTGTGTGATGGCCTCAAAGAGAAACTCGACACGGTTTTTTCTTCTTTCGGCCCGAATTACGTTAGCGACGTCCAGTTGGAGGTCCAATCGGTTTAACTTGTTCTCATGTGTTTTAATTTAATCAGTTTATTCAATTTTTGACTGCGGATATTATTGGATGATTTCTGATAAAATGTTAAGCTTGGGACTGATTTTATTATCATTTTTGTGTTGTTTTGAACAGTTTGAAGTTCTTTTGGCCAAAAAATTATGCCCTTCAAGTTTTTAATGTAATATTGATATATATCACTGGTCACAGGCAGTGTGTTTTGTTTTGCAAAAATGTTTTATTTGAAGTTAATGGACTTGAAGTCTTATTGTTTGGGTGTTTTAATGAACTGCTTTTATTGTCCAAATTGGATTAGTTTTTTTCATTTGTTTTCAACTTTCTCATGACCCTTTCCATTTTATTCTGTATTCTATGAGTGATCCAGTGATGCAAATTGATCTGATATGATGCATTGTCTTTGTACATGTATTTTGGTCTCTGGCACAAATGAATTTCTGAGTTTAAATTATAATAGGGCCTTTCTGTGTAATTGAATTTCTTAGTAATTAGGGCCTTTCTCTGTAATTAGGACCAATTGTGAATTTCTCAGTGATTATAGTACTATTGTCTTGTACATCATGGTTTTTTTTTTTATCTGTGTAATCGAATTTCTGTGAAGATGTTTTTTTTTCTTTGTTTAGTTTGAAAATTCTCTTTGTTTTATATTTTGTGATAGGGCACCAAATTTAGAAGTCGATGAGCCACCTTCTTACTTTAAGGATGTGATGGACCGAACTCTTGTTTTGCCTGATAAACATAAGCAGGCTATTCAACTGAGCCCTTTTTTATTTTAATTTTTTGGTTAATATGCATCCTTGTTGACAGGTGGTTTGGCTGGTGTTTGCTATTTGTTTAAATTGGATATTTTGGTTTGTAGTCTGAGGGTTTGACTTTGATGGTTTGATGGCTGATTGTGGACAAAGTGGATGATGGTGTGATATTGTGGATGATGGTTTGTGGATTTGGACAAGTAGTCTGATAGTTTGATTGTTGGATGGATGATTGTAATTTTATGGATGATGGTTTTTGGACAATGTAGTTTAATGGATGATGTTTTGGATTTTTTTGATTTGATTCCTAATGATACCTATTTTTTTAATATTAATACCGCATTTTTGGTGTAAAAGTACTCATTTGCCAGTAGTTAGTACTCAGTTAAGGATGTTGTATTTTTAAACTGATACCAGTTTCTATTCGTAGTAGTACCTATTTTCTTCACATTAGTATCAATTTTGTATTATTATAGTACCGGATATTGGCTCATCAGTACCACTTGTAACGAACACATAAAAACATCGAATTTCGGTCTCAAATGATGTTTACATGACAAATAATCACTCTCACACTAGTTTGTATGAGATTTATAACGTGTTTAATTAAGTTTAATCGAAAATTGATCACGAACTCAACATACTAATGAAAAAATAGTACCAACACTTCACCTCATTAAAATGGTACCTGTTTTGGGAACAATAGTACCGCTTCTTCTTGTACGCAGTACCTGTTTTTTATCAATTAGTACCGACTTGGTTTCAACGAAAATCCCTTGTTCGATTGTGGTCAACATAGTTCATCTCATTAAAACTGTACCAATTTTGGGAAACAAAGTACCGCATCTTATTTTGCGTGGTACCTGATTTTGATCTATTAGTACCTACTTTTTTGAAGAAAAATTGATTATTTCAATTCTGCTCAATATTTACAAAAGGTAGTACCAGTCATAGTGTAAGTCAGTATCATCTTATGGCGAGTTAGTACCACATATCCTGTCCCTACTACCACTTGTAATGAACACATAAGAATACCGAATTTCAGTCGCAAATGATGTTTATACGACCCATGACCACTCTGACATTAGTTTATATAAAATTTTAAATGTTTTTGATTGAGTTTAATCGCAAATTGGTCATGCACTCGATACACTAATGAGAAAACACTACTACTAGACTTCATTTCATTGAATGCTTCACTTCATCTCATAGAAATCATCATACATGATCACTCCAAATTCTACCTATATGTTTTCAATTCCACTTTTTTTCATCCATATCACGTGTGAACGATCCACGTATTATGGTAGACATGAAGGATTAGAGAAATCGCGATTTTGATAATAGTACCGATTTTGGACAACATAGTACCGCATCTTATTCTGCGTCGTACTTGGTTTTGATCGATTAGTACCTACTTTTTTGAAGAAAAATTGATTATTTCAATTCTGCTCAACATTTAGAAAAGGTAGTACCAGTCATAGTATAAGTCAGTACCACATTATGGTGAGTTAGTACTAGATATCCTGTCCCTAGTACCACTTGTAATGAACACATAAGAAGACCGAATTTCGGTCGCAAATGATGTTTATACGACCCATGACCACTCTGACATTAGTTTATATAAGATTTTAAATGTTTTTGATTGAGTTTAATCTCAAATTGGTCATGAACTCGATACACTAATGAGAAAACACTACTACTATACTTCATTTCATTGAATGCTACACTTCATCTCATAGAAATCATCATACATGACTACTCCAAATTCTACCTATATGTTTTCAATTCCACTTTTTTTTCATCCAAATCACGTGTGAACGATCCACGTGTCATGGTAGACATGAAGGATTAGAGAAATCGCGATTTTGATAATAGTACCGGTTTTAGGCAACATAATACCTCATCGTATTCTGCGTGGTACCTGATTTTGATCGATTAGTACCTACTTTTTTTATGAAAATTTGATTATTTCAATTCTGCTCAACATTTAGAAAACGCAGGACCAGTCATAGTGTAAGTCAGTACCACATTATGGTGAGTTAGTACCAGATATCCTGTCCCTAGTACCACTTGTAATGAACACATAAGAAGACCGAATTTCGGTCGCAAATGATGTTTATACGACCCATGACCACTCTGACATTAGTTTATATAAGATTTTAAATGTTTTTGATTGAGTTTAATCGCAAATTGTTCATGAACTCGATACACTAATGAGAAAATACTACTACTAGACTTCATTTCATTGAATGTTTTACTTTATCTCATAGAAATCATCATACATGATCACTCCAAATTCTACCTATATGTTTTCAATTAGACTTTTTTTTCATCCAAATCACGTGTGAACGATCCACGTGTCATGGTAGACATGAAGGATTAGAGAAATCGCGATTTTGATAATAGTACCGATTTTGGGCAACATAGTACCGCATCTTATTTTGCGTGGTACCTGATTTTGATCTATTAGTACCTACTTTTTTGAAGAAAAATTGATTATTTCAATTCTGCTCAACATTAGTACCAGTCATAGTGTAAGTCAGTACCACCTTGTGGCGAGTTAGTACCAGATATCTTGTCCCTAGTATCACTTGTAACGAACACATAAGAAGACTGAATTTCAGTTGCAAATGATATTTATACGACCCATAATCACTCTGACATTAGCTTCTATGATATTTGATATTTCGTTAATTAAGTTTAATCAAAAATTGGTCACGAACTCAACACACAAATGGAAAAACACTACTTAATACACTTCAACTCATTGAATGGTACCAATTTCGACGGAAATAATACCTCTTTTTCTTCTACGTAGTACCTTTTATTGATCGATTAGTACCAACTTTGGTGAAGAAAAATTGATTATTTCAATTGTGGTCAACATTTACAAAAAGTAGTACCAGTTATATTGTAAGGCAGTACCACTTTATGGCATGATAGTACCAGATATCCTGTCTCTAGTACCACTTGTAATAAACACATAAGAAGAAGAACAAATTTTGGTCGCAAATGATATTTATACGACCCATAATCACTCTGACATTAGTTTCTATGATATTTGATATTTGGTTAATTAAGTTTAATCCCAAATTGGTCACGAACTCAACACACTAATGAAAAAACACTACTTAATACACTTCAACTCATCGACCGGTACCAGTTTTGGCAGATATAATACCGCTTTTTCTTCTACGAAGTAACTGTTATTGATCAATTAGTACCAACTTTCTGGAATGAAAATGTACTACACTGTTGTACAAAAATATTACTCAAGTGTCATTTACTACCCACTCTTTGGAATGAAAATGAGTATACACATATGTCCACAAAACTAGTACTTATATTGTGAAAGAAGGGTACCTGGTTTGACGTTCTTAAGTACCTATGCAGAATTGTGAATGCATATGAAAATGAAACATCTTTTATATCATGTTTTGTACGTACTGCAGCATTACTCGCAAAATATTCATACAATACATACTCGGAATATGTCAATAATGTATCATCAAAATACATATTCCGACAAAAAAAAAAAATAAAAAAAATAGAACACATGCCAACACACCTGCCCAAACAATAAACACACATGTGTCCACGACCACCACAATGCTTACACTACCTCACTGCAACATCAACTTGTGAAGAAAACTTTTTTTTCCTTCCTTCGTCCAAGTTGAGATCGTACATCCGGGCATGAATGGCATAATCATGTTGTAACGAGGAAGATGCCACATTATGGTCGTAGTTAACGTTCGGCCACCTCTTTGATATGAAAGTGTACACTTCGTCAAGCGTTGATCCAATGTGCATAGAGAACACAAACAATTCTTTCTTGTACGTACAACTCCCTAGTATATCACTTTGTGCCCCTTCCATGTATCTAACAATATTTGGATAAATAAAAAAAACTTCACATTTTCCAGGAAAATGTGGTACAAAACTGTATTAAAGTGGTACTATATACATGCAAACAGAGGTACAATAATCAAGAATAGTGGTACAGTGATCATTCTCACCTTATTTTCTTGTTTTAAGGTGAATAACACATTACATAACTTAAGAATAGCATCAATTTCGTATACATAAACGATAAATAAGAGATTTTGATCAATTTAATTGATTTAGGGTTAATATGAACAACAATTTTCAAAATTCAATCCCTAACAAATTAACCAAATATAACGAATTAAACATGATTTTTGGACTCCAATGTGCATAGAGAACATAAACAATTCATTCTTGTACGTACAACTCCCTAGTATATCACTTTGTGCCCCTTCCATGTATCTAACAATATTTGGATAAATAAAAAAAAAACTTCACATTTTCCCAGGAAAATATGGTACAAAACAGTATAAAAGTGGAACTATATACATGCAACCAGAGGTACAATAATCAAGAATAGTGGTACAGTGATCATTCCCACCTTATTTTCTTGTCTTAGGGTGAAGAACACATTACATAACTTAACAATAGCATCAATTTCGTATACATAAACAAGAAATAAGAGATTTTGATCAATTTAATTGATTTAGGGTTAATATGAACAACAATTTTTAAAATTCATCCCAAACAAATTAACCAAATATATACGAATTAAACATGAGTTTTGGACTCCAAAATGCTCATATAATACATATATTACTTGCTTCTTCAAATTTTGGCCGGAAAAAGCACGAATGTTGTCGGAAAAAATGAATTTTTGGCCGCACAAATTTGACGTCGGAATCACTTCTTTGGCCGGATTTGTTGTTGTCGGAGTTCTTCTCGCCGGATTTGGGTCGCCGGAGAGACCGACCTGCAAGAAAAAAATTGAAGCAGTCGCCGGAAATGGAGGAAGACGGGAGAGTGACGGGAAGGAGGGAGATAGGGTGTAGAAGAAGATTGAACAAAAAGTAATAAAATACTATTATATGTAGTGGTTGGTGGAAGACAAAACAAATAAAATAATATGTTAGTGGAATGATGTAATAAATCATTTTAGTTTTGATTTAATTTTAACATTAGGGAGTTAGGAGGAAGAAAATTAAGGGATTAGGGAGCTGAAAGGAAGAAATAAAGGTATGAGGACTGAGGAGGAAATTGAAAAGGCACTTAGGGATTTTAGGAGAAGTTACCCTTTTAAGAATGTAATATAATAATATTTAAAATAAAATGATTAAAATTGATTTGATGTAAAAGTAGGATATAAATGATTGGTTGTTAAAATTATGTAAGTGGATAAATAGTGAATTGAAGTTGATGTGATGTGTAATAATGGTTTGTATTATTTAATTATATGAATAATATTAAAGATAGTGGGGTTGAGTTAAAGTTGAGTTAGATTTTGAGTATGAAATAAATAGGAATGAAATAATTCATAAACAATCAAACCCTAAAAATACCGTGAATATGAGAAAAAAATTAAACTAAAATACAAAAACTTACAACCTTCTCATCTTCTTTTGTACAAAATTATCATTCAAATCACCATAATCAAGTTTTGCAATTTTTTTTCAATGGATAACATCATCAAACCATTAAAACTATCTTGAGACATAGTTGACTAGTTTGGGCAACAATATTCTGTAAGCTACCCAGACATTAGGAAAACCATGATACAAATTTTTTAGGGAGATTTTCACGTATCCTACATGAAATTGAAAATTTTGCAAATCCACCATCTATTAACAAGTAATTGGGTCTCTACCTAATTGTGGATTTAACTCTATTTATGCCTAAAATTCAGTTACCTAAAAAGTGGACTCCATCCACTTTTCGTTCACATGATTTCCGCTGTTTCCATAAAAATAAAAACATTGCCTTCATTGAGATGGAATGAAAGTCAGCCGGTTCCTTAAAAAAAAATAAAAATAAATCTGCAGTTTCCTTAATTCTCGCAGTTTGTGCGTTTTTTAATAGAGAGAAATAAAAACATGTATTGCAATTCACGCAGCCGTCAAGTGGTATATAATGCGTTTATGTTAGTATATATGCAGTATATGTTGCAACGAAAAACATGTGTAACAGATAACTTATATTCCTTATAAAAAAATTTCTAATAAAAATACTGAATATATACTCCCTATACACACAACATATACTGAACAGTGTACAAAAATCTTCTAATATAGTGAATATATACTCCATATACGCACCACATATATTGCATGTCTATACATGCAATATATATTGTACATATACCGTAAATATACTGTACATATGCTCCAATCTAAAGTCTGTGAATTTCAACGTACTAACTGATCTACACACGGTTCAATACCCCTAAAAAATAAAAACAAAATTCAATTTTTCTGCAACCAACCAATCATCTCCCCCGATCATGGCGACGCCGAAACCCTCTTTGGAGGATGCTGGTGCCGCAAAGAACGATGATGGTGACGAATCCGCAAGATCGTGATCTCGATGTTGTTGCAGGATTTGTGAATCTGCCTTCCACGGGGGAGGGCCGAGGCGGGGGCGGCAGAGACGGTTGTAGGAGGCGAGGTTCATATATTTCTCGAAAACAAGCTTCTTCTGAGTGAGTTTTGGTTGTGTTTTTGGATGGATTTTACGAAGCCGGGAACTCGACCTTAATTGTGGTGTTTCGTCCTCTTTATTCGAAGGTTTTTTCCGAGTATTAATTGGGACTTTTGTCTTGCCCATGGAAGAATGTTGGGAAAAACGAAGAGAAGTTTTTCTGCATGCGACGGAAATGGTAAACTAGGACAGTGGGTGGTTTTTTGGGAGAGAGATATGAGTATCTTCAAGATTTAGTTTGTCCGAAAATGATGAGTGTCGAATCCAACAATAATAAATTCATGCTTCTAAAATAATTCTAGTAGTGATAAAAAATATTTAAAAAAATGTAATAGTATCAATAACTATTTCAAAGGATAATAACGACCCCATTGAGACTCTAAAACGAAATATATGTTGAATAAGACACTGAGACTCTAAAATAAAATATACGTTGAAGTATTCAACAAAATAAAGAAGGAAAATTGAAAATATGTCCAGTAATTTAGGACATAAGATAATTTTGCCTACTAAATTCTAAAAAATTCAATAATTAATCAAATTGCGAATATTTGACCGAATACATGCTTTAGTGGACATTTTTTTTGCAAATTATCACAATTAATTAATGGATGATTTTTGTTTAATTTTTCTACTTTTCTTGCATAATGTGTTCTATGTTTCTTAGTTAGTGGATATTTTTTCATACTCATCATTATGACTTTTAAATATTACTATTATCTAAAAATTATGTCAATTTTCAATTGATTGACACTTTTCATACTTATTTTGATGGATTAAATGAAAATAATAATTCAAAAAAATGAATAAATCACATAAAAGACATGATTTTAAATCACAAAATAGTACTCCCTCCTATTTTTATTATTTGTCATCCTAGCTTAATTGATCATTTGTTAAATAAATGTCGTTTTGGCTATTTTGTACATATTTTTCCATCATTACCCTCATCTAACTAATAAATACACTACGTCTTTTCATATTCACTCTCCATCTTTTCTCAAAAGATTAATTTATATCCTCTCATTAATGAGGGTTATTATTGGCAAAAAAAAATATTCTTATTTATTGTATAATTTCTCAAAATAATATTTATTAAAAATAGGATAGAGTATGAATTATGCATCATGTCAGTCTAGTAAAGTAATATGATATGAAAGCAAAACATGCTACAATAAGTCAGAACTACACAATCCTCATTTAACTTTTCGAGCCACACCCTCCTTCTGTAAAGTCAACAGTTTCGATTCCCACAACTTCATAAATTAAATGAGTATTATTAATTCATATAAACTAGATAAGAACCGAATTATGGCACTTGAAATCTGAAATAAGTTCCGAGCCAAACCATATTATGTGTAAATCATTGCACATGTTGCAAGCTATAATTAGCAAATATGTAGTAACTTTTTGTTTACTAAAATATTTATCTATGATGTGAATAGCTACATACCAACAAATCCAAAATGCTTTAACCTTTTTCTTATATGTGATGCAATCTCCTAAATGTCCTACTGCCCATTACGTCTTTTGTGCTCATCGAATTCATATAAATAAAGCAAATGATTTTGAGCCATTTCACTCGTCCTTGAAATGGCCAGACTCAAAATCCATCAATTAAAACACCTCCTTCTCATTATCTTTCTAACTTTCTTAAACAATGTAGATTTAAAACCATGGGACTCCCCGGAGTCACCTTTTTACAAACCAAACCTCACACAAACACAAAAGGCACAAATGATGGACATTTCCTCCAAGGTGCGAGCAACAATATACGCACCCCCAATGAATGAGGCTCTCTACGCCAACAAAATACGACTCCCGGTCGACCAAAATGATTTACGATACTCGGTCAAAATCAAAATTGGGAGCCCAGGCACTGAGATGACCCTGCTTCTCGACACCGCAAGCGGACCAATTTGGACCCAATGCAAGAAATCGAGATCTATTTTCTTTCCGGGAAAATCCCATTTCATTACGGAAAGGTCAAAAACATATCGAATGTTACCATGTAATCACCCCATGTGTCGAATGGACAATGGCATGTGTACATGCAAAAACAAAATGTGTGTTTGTACCGTCAAATACGGTATAACGGGTGGAAAAAATACTAAGGTTGACTATATTCTCTCGTCGGACTCGTTCACCCTACCTCTGAGGAACAAGAGCTCAACAACTTTCCCAAATATGATCTTCGGGTGCGCTGACCGGTCACCCATCTTCTCCGGAATCCTCGGCATGAACATGGAGCCCTCTTCTCTAATTAAACAGTTGAGGGAAAATGCCAAGGGACGATATTCCTACTGCCTTCACCAGGGACATGGCCTTCTAAGATTTGGAGACGACATACCACAAGTCACGAAATACTATAAAACAACAAAAATACTAACTCCTTCAATCGATGAAATGTACGTTGGCTTGACGGACATAAGTGTGGCTGGCAAGCAGCTCGGTCTCTCTCCGGCTATGGTTTCAGATGTAAATAATGGAGGAATACTCATCGGCACAGGGGCCCAGATGACCGTCCTCAAGAGAAGGGCTTATGAGAAGGTAATACAAGCTTTTGCGGGTTATTATGACGGTAAGCTTAAACGGGTGAAAATGCCTAGGTGGGGACTTTGTTACAAGCGCAATTCTAGCATGAAAAGAAATGTCAGCATGACTTTTCATCTTCAACGGGCCGATTACGTGACGAGCGATATGTTTATGGACTTCTTGGAAAGAAGTGTCATGTGCCTTGCGCTACTCGAAAGTGATGTGCCAATACTTGGAGCCGTGCAACAACTCAATAAGAGGTTCATTTTCGACACAAACAAGAATGTGGTGATGTTTGCCGATGAGGATTGCGCAAAGGATAGAGGATAATGGGGTTTAACGAAGAGATACATATGTTTCTTTTAAACCAATAATAGAGTGAACGCGCGTGGTGGTGAATGTTTTTACCATTTAAGTTTCGTACAATAAATTAATTTATTAAAGTTGGAACGAAATAAGATGTAGAACAAATGAGCTCCTTATATTTTTATTTTTTCAGAAATAACATAATGATATTAGAAAATAATGAAATAACATGTTACAAACCTAACAAAAATATATGAAAAATAAGTCAGTAATGGGAAAAAAAAAATTAAATAACTAAATAAGGATCTAATATATGTTATAGATGCATTAATTCTTTTATTTATTTATGTTAGATGATTCAAACGTGATTTTCTTTCGTTTTGGTTTAAAAGCATCTAGGATTTGTTGGTTTAAGGCTATTTAGTTAATTCACATCAATCATTAGCAAACTAGTTGAGAAAAGCTAATGCAAATTTAAGTAAGGGATTTTTATAGCTTCAAACATGCGGACTTTTTTTTTCCTTTCTTTCTTTCAAATAATAATTTCGATCCTCAATTATTTTTTTTTTTCAAAACGACAATTATATTATAAACTCGAAAACTCACAAGAGTACAAAGGGGAGTGCCAACTGACACTAAAGAACCAGAAAACCTGGACCTACTCCTTGGAACAACACAAGTGTCCAAGGGTATAACCTCCAACATGGAGACAAAACACAACACAAAAGTAGAACCTCCAAAAAGGAGATAAAATTCCACAAGGGAAACTAAATGCCAGATGCCGCTGGACTTAACGAAACAAAATAAAAACAAAAGAAGACTAAAACAATAAAACCACACACACCTAATATACAAATTATAAAACCTCCCCTAAACCTAGCAAGCGAACCACACGATCACCACAACCGAGTCCCATCCACAACCAAGAACCTCAAACGGGCAGCAAAACTAGACTTCAAATTCAAAAACTGCGGCAAAACAAACCGCCTAGACGAGTTTTCATCCAGATCTGAACCCAAATAGCTTCGGGGCTAGGGAAAAATTAGGGAAACCACCAAGAAAATGTCGGAGGACTCGAGACAGGAGACCAAGGAAGGACCACGTGGCTCGCACCCGAACAATCCGGCCCATCAGACCTGACCTCCTAAAAGCTGACCAAACGTGCGCCTCCATGGTGCTGAAAAGAAGCTTGCGAGACCGGGGCGCCAACAATTCGATGGGCTCCCGCGGTTGGGCTGAAAACGGCCGGCGNGAGAGAGTTTTCTGTTTCGATCCTCAATTAGAAAGAGTACTTATTGTAGACTTGCATCACCCAAACAAATCATTCTGATGTGCTAAAAGCTAATAGAAAGTCATTTCATATACTTCCACTGTAATTATGGTGTAAATAGCACCAATGTTTAACATGGAGTAATCATCCTTATTTACAAAGTAATTCAGATTATATACTTGTAGAACACTTAGGGCCTTCTGCCGTTGAAGATGTAAACCTCATCAAAACCCCTCCTGCAAAACATGGAAATCAAATTTTATACGAAATGATGCATACACATACAAAAAGACGAGAAAGAAAGAGAAAGAAACATACCCGGCTTTCCCACTATATGTGGGACTGTAGTTATATATGAGCTTGCCACGTACACTCTGGGGAGCTTCCGAGCCTCTCTGCTAGAGTTCATACATCTCAATAAAAAGAAAAAAAAAAATCGTTATGTCGATACAACATGGACTACCAATCCAGTGCCAATTGAACTTCACTTCAGAGATCAGCAAGTTACAGTTTATGTGTACCTCACAAACTCAACAAATTGAAAAATGTTACCTCACAATAAATTTAACAACATGATGAGTAACTTCAACTGCATCTTCTGAGTGCGGGATCAATAAGCATTTTTCTGGACCAAACAAGTGAATTTTTGCATTCAAAATAAAAAAAAAAATAAAAATAAAAAGGTTCACCAACTCCAAATACGCATCAATATGAACATATCATACGGCTATTAAAATTACAACTTTATTGCATGGAATCATCATCCTTATTTACAATGTATATAATAAGATTACATTCTTGTAGAACTATTAAATTTACAACTTTATTGCATGGAGTCATCTTCCTTATTTACAATGTATATAGTAAGATTACATTCTTGTAGAACGGCTATTAAATTTACACCTTTATTGCATGGAGTCATCTTCCTTATTTACAATGTATATAATAAGATTACATTCTTGTAGAACGGTTAGGCCCGCCCGCCGTAGAAGATGTAAACCTCATCAGAACCCCTCCTGCAACACATGGAAATCAATCTATATATGAAATGATGAGAGAGAGAGAGAGAGAGAGAGAGAGAGACCCGTCTGTGCCACAATATGTTGTACTGTATTTATGTATGAGATTGTCATCAATGCTCTGGGGAGACGGCCTGGTCCTAGACTTCCGAGCCTCTCTGACAGAATTCATATGATATAAGGAAAAATGGATTAATTGACACTTCAAAGATCAAGAGATTAGTTTTGTAGATGCAATCATGAGTTCTTATAGGATTAACTACTCTGTAAATGAACCTGAATTTAGGTTAATGTTCAAAACTAACATATAAAGTTAGCAACAGATTTGAAAATGTTACCTCACAATAAAGTTAGCAACAGATTTGAAAATGTTGCCTCACAATAAAGTTAGCAACAAGCTGAGAAACTTCAACTTCTGAGTGTGGGATCATTGATAAACCCCACTCGAAAGCATTTTTCTGGACAATAAGAAGTGAAATAGTTTTTGCATCCAAACAAACAATTTTAACCAACTTCTAACATCCATGTCTTGTTTGCTCTATCAATTGATAACAATACCAAAGATTGATTATCTATCTTGGATCGAGTCGCAAGGAAACAAAACCAACCAATTAGAAATAAACATCAACACAATGTAGAAGGCAAAGTGCATAAGAGAAGGCCCACTGTTGTTGACAAAAAATTGATACGGACAAGTGAAAATTCTGCGCGTCGGTTTATCCAGTCGTATTCTTAGACCAAAACAGAGCAATTTAAATAAGAATTAGGGCCTCTTATCTGAATGGCCCGTCGAAAATAACAAAAATAACTACTAAGGAAAATAGTGTCGTGCTTGCATCATGCTAATTTAACCAGTTTCGGGGTACCAACTGTATGCTAAAGAGGGAAAAGGCGTGCCATGCAACGGCAACATGACAAATTAATAATTATTTCATGGGAAACAGAGTTAAGATGATTTCAACCAAAACATAGTGAAAACTTATTGAATTAACGGCAGTTATGTATTACCTTTGAAACAGAGTTTTCTTAAGATCTATGCCATCTCTGAAGTGCAATGTCGATGCATGATTTGCTGCATCGAATGGCTCCAGAATATTTCTGTCCTGTAACAAATGATAGAAATGCCAAACAAATAGATTAACAAGTGGAAACTAAAACATTAAACAACGATAATGAAACTATGATACAATGAAGGGCACTAAATAACGATAACAGCGCGTTCATAAGAATCATCTAAAACAATCTAAGCTTGCAATATGTGCATGGTTTCACACAGCTTACCTCACTGACAATCATCGTTAACAGTTCAAAGCCTAAGCATATTCCAAGCAAAGGGAAATGATCTACATCATCATTCTTTGACATGACAATCTGCATATAAGAGATAAAATTGAAAACATTACACATATTTTATTTATTTTCTATGAAGGCCAGATTGAATAGATATATATTTTATTTCATTGTCTATTTACAAGGCTAAGCTATTACTACAGCAGCAAATTAACGAGAAAGAAAAATTATTACCACTGATCAAGACAACCAGAAAATACAGCAAGTATATCATTTCATATTCATGTATATTCCAAATGACAACATTAAAGAGGAATAAAAGTTGAGGGGTTAGTTCAAGTGTAGAAACTAAGTACCTTAAAGATGAAGTCAATAACCTCATAGTAGAGACCAGTTGTTTCTCCCCCTCCCGTGACGATGAGTCCGTTAACCAATGTTAGTTTCTGCAAAAGCACAAATACAATTCATTTGAATTTACAGTTTGGTCCATAAGGTAGTTTGGTTGATAACTAGTTTCATGAAAGAAAAGGCATCTCAGAATATCTTATAATATAATGTAGTTTGGTCCATAAGGTAGTTTGGTTGATAACTAGTTTCATGAAAGAAAAGGCATCTCGGAATATCTTATAATATAATGTATTATCATGAGTAAAACCGTTAGTTAGATTGAATGTTAAGAAAGCATATAGAATATCGTCAATGTTGAGAAATCTCTTAAATAAACAAAGTTTTCTTTGGAGGAAATATAAAGTTGCAACACTTATATAGTTGGCTTTTATGCTGTGACTTGAGATGTTTGCGCTAAAAACATGAACTAATTAGTTTGAGACAATGGTCAGCTATATAATTTATCATCAAATCCCCCTATATAATAAATAAGAGCATGTTGAGCTTAAATGAAAGACTTATATGTTTGATCATTTACATGCATGTTTTTGACAACTAGGCTTAAATATTCTTAAACCTATGTTTAATTTTGTTTCTTAAATTATATATACTACACTTCATTTGCTATTTAGTTCATATATATTAATTATTATAAATATGTATTCGTTGAAATTTTTAAATTTTGTAACTTTTTTTATACGTATTTCATATATATAATCTTTCAAACTAGTCATAATTTAACCACATTCCAGTTGAGAACCATATTGCATGCATGACATGTAAATGAGGATTTAACTGGTGAAGACGTGTGGAAGCTAAAATTTTATATGAAAAATTTTTCATATAATTAATTTGATATCAATATTTTTAAATTTTTTTTCAACTTATTTGATATTGTCACATTTGAATAAATTTTTGTTAAAGTTGAAATGTGTAATGATTTATCTCCCTTTATATTTATCATATAAGGTATGGTAAAAAGTGGTTTTAAGTTTATTGTCTAACTTTTATCATTTAATTACACTTGCTCAATGCACTGACATTTATTTATATTTATCCTGTACAAAACTATGTTAATTACAGTCATATTTTTTTCTTCACGTATTAGTTATTATCTTTTTAGTTAATATTTATTACATATATTTAATTGGGCTTTTGTTACTTAAAATATATTATTTGTTCCAATTTGCAGAAGCATCCTCAAACAATTATTCCTCTTATTATGGAATTTTTTGATTATTTGTTTGTGCAAGTCAGAGTTTATTCGGTACATGAATACATTAATTAATAGTAATACTACTAACTAACTTATATATTAATTTAACCAATTAAATCCATAAAAAGATGAGGAATATGTTATGGCCCTCATCTGAAGTTAAAATGAGAATTTGTGTTTTCAGTAATACAGAGAGTGAACATCATCATCTACCTCATATCTTCCTCCATTATAAATATACCTCATTTTTTCAACCTGAAAAGCATAATTGACCTCCTCTCTCCTCTCTTCTCCTCTCTCCTCTCTTCTCCTTATGTGAAGTTTGTGGAGTCGGCTAGCGCAAGGATTATCCCACTTATCTACAACAAGAATCTTGAGCATGTACGTAGTTCAAAACATGCATACATCTTTTGTATTCATCATCAAACATGTACGTAGTTCAAAACGCTGCATCGGGTGAAGATGAAGGCCAAGCATCCACACCTTTCAAAGAATCGAGCACATGATCAACAAGCATTAACAAAGATAATTAAGCTAAAAACATGTTCCTTAATTGATCTAAACTTTAACATAAAATTTCACTGAAAAATATCAGCATCAAAAGCAAGCAAAATCAAATTCTAAACTCTTCTACAGAAACATTCAACATATACCTGACTACCACACATACTGAACTTCATAAGATCCAAATCAGATAATTTTCTAAATTCAGAGGATCAACCAAACTCACTTGTACAGGATCATAAGATATAAAACCTAACTATGAATTATCAATCTAATTCTGGACTCTGCCCTATCTAGATCAGAATATCATAATAAGTTTAGTCACGCGAACAGATAGCCAACCGTAACAATCCACTCAAGTCAAAATCAGGGACAGTACAGTCCTTATCCGGGGCAATTAGGATCAGACAAGCACAACAAACAAGCTCCAATAATCAATATCGACGGAAATCAAAACACAGATCCATATACTTTACATATAAATCGGGATAAGATGAAACATACCAACAAATCTCCGCATAAAACTATACCAATACATGCACAAATCCGAACAAAAAAATAAAAAAAACACGAAGAACGTAATTCTAATCGGATTAAGAGATTCGATTTTACCTTCAACTGGAATGGTTTGATGAGTCGAAAACTCGTAAGCTTTTGAAGAACTTAAGATTGGATCGATTGATAGGAAAAATAGAGGTGTTTGACTTGTGTACTAAGATCGGTGGAGGTGAGGTTATATAGTGGTGGTCGGGTAGGGTAAACCGATTTTCGCGAGAGAAATATCAGGCCTTTGCTGTCGTAAGCAGTGACAATAATAATACTCCGTCTGTTTCGTTTTAAATGTCGTTGTAGGGTGTCAACTTTTTTGCAAATTAATTGTCGTTGCAAATATTATATTCATTCTTACATTTTTATTCTCTTTAACAAACGTTATCTCTTATCATTATCTTTAAAAACCACTCATTAATAATTCAAAAACTAAATTTAATAAGATTAAAAAATAAGATTATTACACAACCCATTAAAATCGTAATTTAGAAGTTTTAAATTAAAACGACATTTAATAAGAAACGGAGGGAGTACTTGGTTATAATATAATTAATTTTTTAATATAAAGAAATGATTAAATTTAATGATGGTGAAAAATGGATTTGTCTACAATCCCGTAACGGAATGATTCCGAGGGATTTTAGCCATCAGATAAAATAACTGTAGACAATAACTGATAGGGCTGAGCACGGGACTCGGAGAATTCCGAACCGTTCCGAAAACCGAACTGAAATCACTCCGAACCGAAAAATATCCGTTGACCGTTTAACTTTTTCCGAACCGAACCGAATCGAAAAAATAATTGCTGCGGTTCTGGATATTTCATAAATATCCGTAACGAGAACTGAACCGAACTGTCTCGTACCGTACCGACCCGAAGAATCAAAATTAAGAACCGAATTATAAAAATAAATGCGTGTTATTAATATATTTTATGTCAACTTTGATCCTATATAATTTGAGAATTTTTTAAATGCAAATAAAATATAGTAATAACAATTAAGATTCACTTACATTTTATGATTAGCAATACTTGATCTACAATTGAATTTCTCATGTTTAAAAAAAATTAAAATAGAATAAAAGGTTAAAGATTTAAAAAAATATTTAAGCTTTACATAAACTTGTCGATACTTAGGCTTAGTTTATCTTATAACTAATATGGTATGGAAGGTTAAATAAATATTACTTTAATATAAAACTGTATTATATTTTGTTTGAATTTTAAATTTTCAATGTTAGTTGAATTTAGTTTGAACTAAAATTTAGAGTTGCTTCTAAAGTTGATTTAAAAATAAATTTTTTAGTATGATGAAGTGTTGATGAATGTTGGATTTAAAAAAACATATAAAAAATAAAATATAATTAGGTTGTCATTCAAAAAATTTTAAAAATGATAAGAAATCTCTGAATATCCGAACCGAATCAAACCGAACCGAACCGTTCCGATAGTCCAAAAAACCGAACCGAACCGAACCGAAAAATAAAAATTTTCGAACCGGACCCATGCTCACCCCTAATTAACTTATGGCTAAAATCTCTTACGGAATCATTCTGTGACGGGACTATAGACAAATCCAAAATGATAATAATAAATGATATTATTTTCGTTTTAAAAGAAAAAAAAAATTAATAAATATCTAATCGCACTGTCGGGTCGGGCCACGCGTAGATCCGAATGCCTACTTTCATAGCCACAATTTGACGAAGGATTTAGAAGCACGCACTCTATCCCCCTTACGTTACACTGATAAAAATCATCACAATCAGTTGTCTGGTATTGTGAAGCTTTAGGCTCGTTAGGCGAAAATCACATTCTGAAACCCTAATTGCTAATACCAGTACAGCTTGACCTATGCCCCTTCTTCTTCTTTTGGTTTTTTCTTTTTACAGTTGTTCAAGTTAGATAATTTTTGTTTTCAGTTGCTCGACTAGACTGTATTATTTTCAGGGAATCGCGTGCCGATAATCTGATTCCGTTCCTGGCGTTGGGTTAAAGAATCGGACTCGAAATTGTATTTGGGGTTGAAATTACTGTGTATTAGATTGCCGATTTTAATTTTCAGCCGACGTTTGGAGATCTCTCGTTGTGAATTTTTTTGTCTATTTCACTCTGTAAAAACCGTTTTTTCAAAAGATTGCGTTTTGACCTGAGGTGTAGAAATCTTGTCCGGATGATGTCTGTTGAGAGATCGTTTGAAGCATGGGAAGAGGTGCAGCGGCACGGGCAGGACTTAGCTGATAAGCTTGCTCAGGGCTTCACGGGCTTAATCCAATCTCATATTACTCCACCCTCTTTCCAATGGCCAAACCCTCCCACGCCCAAGCTGTTTGAAGTCGAGTTCCCAGTGCAGAAATTTATGAAAGGGGATTTTGGGCTGTCGGTGGATAATTCCGCTATTAATGGGGTGACCGCTATTTTCGATATTGGGAACAGAATAGGACAGGCTGGGGTAGAGTTTGGATCTTGTTTGAATGGTGCGGTTCATCAGTTTTTTAGGCGGTTGCCCGTGCCTTTCCATCATGATGAGAGTGTTGGGATGTCTCTAGGTGTGGAAGGACAAGGCCCGAGGGCTAATGTGGGCATAACCCTGCAGGAGGATTTAGGATCACTTGCAGAGAGATTTAAGGATTATGGGTTCTCTGAAAATAGTGCCGTAATTGTGGAGGCCTCGGAGGAGGATGAGACTGAGACCTTTGGTGTTAATGCGAAGGCATTGAAACATTTGGGCCAGTCGAAGGTACATAACTGATACTTTTGGCCTTGATTTTATGAATATGACATTTCCTAACTATTGTTTTGGGACAATCATTTTTTAACTTACTAGAGATACATTAACTGAAGATGCTAGAGATTTTGGAATTCATTTTTTCGAGGTAGGCATTAGTATGTGTATTTATTGTTGGAATTAGGTTTGTGCTTAAGCTATCATCACTAGTCTAATGTAAGATATGTGGAGAAAGTGATGTGGAGATGTAAGCTCTATCCTCAAATCACATCATGATGCTATTATTTTGAATGATTTTATATCATTGGTCGTTGGCATATTTGGTGATTCTGAGGACTCGTGTGAGTTGCCGATTCATATATGAATTATTTTGATATATGGTGCATCATTCACTAAATTGCGGTTCTTAGGTTAGTGTATGCTAGAGTAGGTAACATTAGGTACCTGAATCAATAGGTTTGTTTCATATGAGCTAGAGGATGGTATGTACAAATTGCTGACCGACTGAGATTGGCGTGTATCTCAGCATAGGAAATTTGTCACAATTATTTACATCACAAAACTGTGCTGATTACATAACAAAATTGTTCATATCGATTTGTGTGTTTCTCATGTCTTCTTTTCTAAATCACCACTCTCCATTTTCTCCAAATGCAGGGTACTGTCAATGTTACTGCAACCTATGACAGTAGAACCAGCAATGTTGAAAGTTCTCTTGTTGCAAAGGGAGATTTATGGAGAGTCGAGGCATCACAAGGAAGCTCGACATCTAGAAATGAGAACTCATCCCTTTTCCTTGTCCAGCTTGGGCCTGTATTGTTTGTTCGTGATTCCACTCTTCTCCTGCCTGTCCATTTGTCAAAGCAACACCTGCTGTGGTATGGGTATGATAGGAAGGTATATCCCAACCCATTGAGTTGTAAAATTCTACGGCATCTAATTGTTTATTGAGCTGCAATTCTCCTGAATGAGTTAGAATGATTATTAATTTAGTCTCAGGTGTTCCATCTTTGTGACTTGCAGAAAATTCATATGGTGTTTAGCATAATGTACAATACTGGTCAATACATGTGACTGCTAAACAATGTTTTGAAAATACATATGCTTTCCCCTATAACAAGTACAAGTATTCTGTTAGAAATAAGATATGTAGACAAACAAGTCTTATTTCTCTTGTTTAGTTCTTGAAGTATGCGAGTATTGAGTAGACCAACCAACACAGGAGAATGAGATCCATGATGTACATGAAGAGTTATTATTTACCATGTATTTAGTTTTTCCAGAGAGACATTTACTGAAAATTGATATGGATTTTTAAATGACGAAAGAAAGCCAAGAAAATTGCACTAGGATCAGCAGTGATTGTGGTCGATGCAGAATTATAATTACTATAATTTGATGTGGAGATTCATTAATTTGCTCTGCAGCTCTGGGCTGCTTGGCAAGTTAATGAGAATCCAAAATATGATACCTGACAACAATCTTCTTAAAATGTCAGATAATGTATGGAGGTTTTTTTTTTTTTTTTTTTTNGATTATATATTAAGCTGTTTGTTGCCAAGAATCATACATTAGGTTTTATCCTCTTTGTTATTCTGTTTGTTGCTTTTTAAGTATTATTGGGAGTAGTCTTTTTCTTGTTTGCGCCTAATGTAAACTTAATAGTTCTGTCTGGAACATGCACAGAATGGATTGCATTCTCTCTGTCCAGCCGTGTGGTCGAAGCACAGAAGGTGGCTATTGATGTCAATGATCTGCCTCAACCCTTTAGCTTGTGTAAGCTTGGCTCCTCATTATACAACTGATCTCAGTTTGTGTTGAAAAGTTTTCTTTTGCAAGTCAATTATGGGCGTGAAAGATTACAAATGAAAATTCAAAATAAAAGTGGAACTAGAATTTGAAACAATGTTTAATCACTGTGATCTTAATTCACCACACATCTCACCTTCCCCATTGAGAATGTGTCTTGGTCTCATCTCATGTGCATATGAGCTGAGATAAGGAAAAAATAACTTTGGAAACTTCGTTAATTTTAAAGGTTCATATTCATTTTCACCACATTCTTCATGCCTTTATCCGACATGTTTAAATGATGTAGAAAGAAAAATATTTAGGGGCTGATTGTTTATGATTTCTACAGTAAAAAACACCATTCAAAACTCAAATTTAACTCAACTTTAACACAACCCCACTATCTCCCATATTATCAATATAATTAAATGATATCAACCAATCATTCTTACTCATCACATCAACTTTAATTCACTATTCATCCACTCACATAATTTTAACTAACCATCATTTCCAATCATTTTTCTCATACTTTACATCAAATCAACTTTAATTATTATATTTAAATATTATTTTAATATATTCACTAACAATTAACCATACCACTTTTTTTCAAAATTAACTATAGTTAAAAAACAAATCAAATAAAAATTAGTTGAATCCATAAACAATCATTGCTTTAATAACTGAACGTTTGTAAGTTATTTGTTATTTTCCTAAAGAGATGAGCATCTGCAAAGTTGACTTGATTGTACTTTATGATATCTATGAAGTTGGTACTTGGTCGATTTAGATGAGGACTATTGAGGAGCTCTGGGATGACCTCCATCCTAGCTATGTGGGTTATCCAAGCACTTCCTTGGTATCTCTGACTTGAGTCTTGACTGTATTTTGTTTCCTCGTCTTTGTTGCTCAACCTTTTCATATATGAAAGTCTAACGGACTTCCGTTTTACTCTATGCAGTCTTTCATGGATTTGCAATTCCCAAATGGCCAAGTTACATATGTTTCTGGTGAAGGGTTATCCACTAGTTGCTTTCTGCCCGTCTGTGGAGGGTTGCTTCAAGCACAGGGCCAATATCCAGGAGATATGAAGTTCAGTTTTTCATGCAAGGTGCGATTGGAATTTCCCGGAAAATGTTACTGAAGGAGTTCATTTACTTTGGCTAATTCATTATGTAATATAAACCTGCTGCATAGTATATTCCGCTCGAATACTGAAATTCTTGTTGAACTTATGAAGAATAAGTGGGGAACACGCATAACACCGATGCTGCAGTGGCCTGAAAAGTCATTTGCCTTGGGCCTGGAGCAGGCATTAGCTTGGAAGAGATCTGGTCTGCTGGTGAGGCCAACAGTCCAATTCAGGTACTTAGTTGATTGCATTACTCTAGACAACCTATATTAGAAGTCTACTTGAATAGTTCTTAACATGGTTCCTTTTACCAAGTAGATCTCAATTTTTTCCTGCGTTGCTGTTTGTAGTAATTGGTCTTTGTGGAGCCATTTGAATTTAGACTGTCCTGTTGATTTAACCGAATACCTGTCATATGATTATTGGAAATTTTCGCTTCATCTGCCTTCAATTTGTATCCTGGAAAACATGTTCTCCATTTCTCATCATTCAGTTATGTATGTGTGTTTATTATTATCAGTTTATGCCCAACATTTGGTGGAAGCTGTCCTGGGCTACGGATGGAGCTTACCCATTCTGTGAAGGAGGAAGTTAATCTTATCTGTGGCTGTGCTTTTGTGACTCATCCTTCTGCATTTGCATCCGTATCAGTAAGCTAATCATTACTGGGAAACTACTATTATTACTACTATATTAGTATATTATTATTATTATTATTATTAACTTGGGCCATGTACTTTAAAGGAAAAAAATAAAAAGCCATTATTTATTCTTTAGTATGAAATATATTTGATGTTGAGAAACCAATGTGTTTCGACATGTCAAACTCCAAAACTATTTTCTCGTTTGTAAAGGCTCTTGTATAACTTGGATTGTTGCAGGGGAAAATCAGACTTGAGTGATTTTATCCCCATTTAACAATGAACCGACTACATGGTTACTATAAATTATGTTCTGGATCATAAATACCACTCTTATAAGCAACTTGCTAAAGCTTTGGTATTTTAGCATACTTCTTTTATGGCATATTCGTATGTGACCAAAACCTTTTGTCACCTGGGTTTTGAAGTGTTAAATTGGTTGGTGATAACTAAAGGGATATCAAGCAATTTCCAAGTATAGAATAGAGAGTAATTACTGCCCTAATTCTTCCCTTTCCGAACGCCGGATATAGGTTGGCAGGTCGAAGTGGAATGGAAATGTCGGCAGCACAGGTGTGGTATTGAAAGTTGAAACTCCTCTTGGCAACTATGGCAGGCCTTCCTTTTCTGTTCAGTTGAATAGTGGTATTGAGTTTTAATTTCTTCCTTTTTTTATTTTTTTCATTGCTATTTTTCTTTTGAATGATGGAGGAGGAGTGAGGATGGACAGCATGTGTAATTAACCTGTATATATGTACTTCAGTGTAATTTTGTTCGTTATAGCGCCTCGGACGTGAAGCATACTGTACTGTAATTAGCTATGCTTGTCGTTTTGTACAAAAATGTGTCCATTTGTGCACATAATTTCTTGTCGGAAAATGTGTAATGTATGTTTATCTTAAACTAGTGTGTAGCCCATGTTATGCACGGGTAAATAATACTAATAATCCCAACCTTCAGCGAGTAGGTTCCCCGCCTTCGGTTATGGGAGTTTGGTTAGAGCATGATATTATTGGAGTGTCGTATCCTCGTCGAGTCCTAATATAGGCTTATGGCCTCTTTCATTGTACCAAAAAAAATAATAATAATACTAATATTAACTATAAACTAAATATTAGGATAAACAATATTAACTATAATTATAAATTAAAGATGTGGGGTTACATGTGATAAAATTTACTTTATATAGTCTATTGTAACAATATAAAATTATTTTATATAAAGAATATAAAAAAAATTTATGTCTAAAATATTAAAATTGAGAGAAGATTTACATATTATATATAAAATAAATATTGAGATGATATCGAAAATTATTTCGTCATCAATTTGAGTATAAAATAAGCGGAGGCCTAATAACTCCATATTTTATGCATATGCTTCATTTATCAATTTTATATAATAATTTTAAAATCTCATTATCAAAATTTGTATTCAAATGTATAAAATAAACGAAGACTTAACAATTCTACGCTGCATATACTTCATTTATCAATTTTATGTAATGATTTTAAAATCTCGTTGTTATTAAGATTTTTATTCAAACACGTATCAACAAAGTACACATCTTTGAGATTTATGATGAAATACGAATAAATGATTTCTTTGTAAAAGAAATCAGTATTTATTTGTTTTTGAAAATCAATGCAAACTCACAGATAGTTTTTGTTCTTAACAAACTCCTACAATTCTAATTAAATCATATTATTCCAATTTGAATTTCATGATGGTTTTAAATCTGTACACGTGGTCATAATCTATATCAAGTAAACAATCCTCATAATTTTAGAAATCAGTATTTATGTGTTTTTTAAAATCAATGCAAATTGTTTGATAGTTTTTTTTCTAAGAAACTCCTACATTTCTAATTAAATTATATTATTCTCAATTTGATTACGAATTTAAAGTTTCAATTTGAAAATGAATTTAAAAAATCTGTACACTTGTTAATAGTCTTTCAAGTAAACATAATTCCAATTTTTTTCCATTATTAAGTTTTTTATTCCAACAAATGATGTGGTGAAGATTTATTAAGTGAGTACCTATGATGTATGGATTAATATCCAATGTTGTAGCATACACTTTTTTTAATTGCATAAATATAATTGTGTTTTTTTTTTCTTTGCATGGACGGTATAATTAGTGCAAGTTAATTAAATGAAGTTAATTTTTTAATAAAATTCATTTAAGTTTTTTTTGTTTTGTTTTTGTTTTACTAAAATGAATGGTGCAAACTCGTACCATTTTATATTCTCCACAATTTTAATTACTCCTTAACTTTTGAATACTGCTAAATTTCATATCTATCATTATTTATGCGGGCAATTTTATAGGAAAGTTATTAGAAAATTGTTAACATTTGATTTTGAATTAAAGATTTGCATGAAAATTATTAGGAAATTATTAACAATTGAATTTGAATTAAAGATTTTTTTTTAATTTTTTTTTTCCTGTTTTCCCTATAAGTTCGTTAAAGCAACCATATTTTATTTAAACTTCTATCTCTTCCTTATTTAGAAATTTGGAAATTTGTTTTGCTTGCTATATTTAGTAAATAGTAATTCTTTTTATATAAGTATAGATGCCTTTCTACATGAATTGGGAAGTCATTTTTCTCTGGATGTTTTTTATTTCACAATTGAATGAATGTTTTTGGTTAGCTTGGACAAAAGTGTATTAAACTTTCGAATGGATTTTCCTTTAGCATCTAAGATTATTTTGTTCCTTATGAGATCTCGCAATTGAAGCAAATTTTTTCAATTATTTTAAGAAAAATATGCCCAATTACTTCTCTTTTTCTTATTCTCGCCAAATACCTAATCAAATTGAGTTAAATAAAGGGTACTAAAGCAAATTGAGTTAAATAAAGGGTACTAAAGCAAATTGAGTTTAAAGAAACCCATACATTATGATGTGCAAGATGTAAAAGAGGCCTAACACGATGTACTAAGTAGTCCTAGGCTCAAATTCCATCTTTTACAATCTATTTTAGCCTTTTATTTATTTTTCACTATTTTCTAATTTGTTTCTTTATTTGTTTCCTGTTTCTGTAAGATTTGAGGTCTTTATATACGGCTCTATGACTGTTAGTTTTGAGGAAAATCAGATCTCATATTGTTTTCATTAACTCATTTTTCTTTCATTGGAAGTAGGTTTTGTCTACGCTGTCAACTTACTGCACTGAAAATAGGTAACTAAAATAAAATGGCCTAAAACAAACAAGACTTTAACTTTGGAATGTGGCATTTCTAGTAGACCATGGATTGTGTGCCAATCAGGATAATGGGCAATATCCCCTGATTCTGGTCCTTCCTGATAAGAGATAACAACCATTAGTCATTGTCAATACACCATCCCTGAGGAATTTTTTTTTTTTTTTTTTTTTGTGTGT